TATTATATTATATTATATTATATTATATTATATTATAGTGTATTATATTATAATATTATTATTGCATTATATTATATTGTTATATATTATTATTATAACGTGATTCTTCATATTTGCCATGTTAGTAAGCTAATTAAGCGGCGGATCCGAAAATGAGCAGAACTTTTTGTCAAATAGTGTGAAGCTATGGAGCTCGACCTGGCTCGGTAGTTAGGGCAAGAACGTATTGGTCGGGCAGTCCGTGGTTTGAGGCCAACATCTTGACTGGTCCTGTTGAGTCTCGAATAAACCGGCAGTATCTCATCCTTCGTGCTTCCTTCGCGTGGTATGGCAGTTTGGTACCGAAAGTTATTACAGCTGAACGATTCATTGCTTGTAGTGAGCATTAGTGTTCTATCTTGGGACCCTGACACAGACTCACCATCCTTTGTGCATATGTCGGCAGTGTGGGCGCTGTTTCTCATTTCTGTCCAAAAGTATGAGTCAGGCACTCACAGTTTCTTAGAAAACAGACGATAAAATCGGCTCTGGTCACATGAGTGGGGAAAGGCTGAATCGGTTTCACACAGTTACACATAATATTTAACAGTTTTTATTGAGATCTTTCAGTCTGGGAGACCTGAAACCCTATAACACTACTTATAAGGTTGTCAAAAGCTCTTCGACAACTGGTTTCTTGGGAATCATCAGGTAGGCGCTGTCGCCAAGTTTCCATCAAACTTAAGTTCTGTTTATGCAGCAAGATGTACACGAGTGACGAAGCAAGCATTTTCACCAAAAAAACGTTTGTTTGTGATGTTCACTCGAATGTGTTGCACAAAGCTCGCCTCCTTAATCAATTGGTTTCAACTTTTTATCGCTACTACGTCTAGCTATACTATTTCACTTTTCGAGCACGCGCTGAAGTGATACGCATGGTATTGCATGCGGCCGGTGTGCCTTTCGACGATGAACGAATCTCAGCGGATGACTGGCCCAAACGAAAATCTGAGATTCCTGGCGGAAGGATGCCTGTGCTCCAAGTGTTCGAACCCGGTAGACCGGATAAACCGAAGAACTATGTGGAGAGTATGGCAATAGCACGGATGCTGGCAAAAAGATTCAACTTAATGGATGACACGGAAGAGGGCTACTACAACATTGAACGAATGATTGGTGAAGTAAGTTGGCAACCTTAGTCTTAGCAGTATGTCCTTAATAATAAAAAATAGAGCATTGCACAGAGACTGACAGGATACACAAAACACGTGGAATAATCTCTGTAGGTTTGTGAATGGTTTACAAACTGATGTGGATTTAAAACCATTTGTTCATGAATGAGGACACTTCACATGGTTCGAATGAAGACTCGGCTGAGTCATCTAATTGGACATGCTTATGCAGTTTTCGTCAGTTTGGTACCCCAGCATTGCTAAATTTTACCCCTATTTTTTCGAAACAAAAATGCACTACTGACCGCAGAACTCCAAAACAGCTTTCGTAAATTCTTCTGAGTAGGATGGTTGCGAATGCCTCACAACTCAATTGAGATGCCAGCTGCACTTGGGATCGGCGAAGCTACAGGCTCAAGGGCTGCTAGCCCTCAACATGGGGACACGTGACTGCGCTGGAGGAACGTTCTCGTTTGACGAACTTCTTGTATACCCTAAAGAACATTCACTCGTACGAAGTTCACAGTCCTCTTAGTGAAATAAACACTTTCCTGAAATTTTTTAGATTTCATTATTAGAAAAAAGTACATGGCTACATCGATCAAACTAGGAAATTCGACTAAGCAATTCCGTTCATTTTTGATTCGCGGAGACGGTAAGTGGAGCGCTTTCCAAAAACAGAAGTCTCTAAGGTGGTGCAGTGTGATACGACCAGAAGCCTTGACGCTACTAACATGCAAATTCATACCGTTAAAACGCTGCTTCAACAGAACGGAGATCAAAGCGTGGGTTTTAATACTGCAACATGCCAGATGATCTCGTTTTGTAGGAGGAAGGAGCTGCCTTTGCTAAGCCATAAGTTCAGCAGCTCATTCTGTAGATAGCAGTGATGGAAATTGAAGAGATGAGTGGCATTTGGTATGCCACGAAGCCACTCAAGTTTTTGGACAGTGCAAAATCACACGCTTGAATTTTAAGTCGGCTATATTATCGTACAAATTGGCATCCTCTGTTGCAAGGCGCACGCAGTTTCGTCACAGAAGCCATACATCTCTGCTGTATAAGATGAAGGATACTGCAAACAGCCATGAGGCTTTGTTGTTCTTCCGATTAACCGACGTTTCCGTAAAGTCACCTTCTACATAAGTGGCCTTTATTGAGGATTATCTCTATATTCTGAATGTGTTGAGTGGTTTTTACCTTGTCAACTGCTTTCGGAGGGAGACTCGGGACGGATACCACTCACTTGGCTAGTGTTAAATCAAACCGACTAACTCCTTTGTTTGTGAGTTCAACAACAGCTAATTAGGATACTGCACCCGAAAGCCATAGGGTGAAATTTACCTAAGCTCAGCTAGTCGAGTGTCAAGTGTCAAGTCAATAATGTTACTTTCTTTACCCGTATCCAAGTGTGAAGATGTGCTCAAAGAGCTTCGCAACGCTTTCCTGTCTCCGGCGGATAAGAAGGAACAACTCGTGAAAGAAGCAATGGAAACCTCGATTCCAAAACTACTGAACGTGAGTATACAAAAGCCCATGGGTTCTTGAACCGGTTTTGAAGAGGATTCATTACCGCTTTTTCTCCAAAGTGTACCCCAAAAGTTTTTTTGAGCAATTCGCGAATATACACTCATCCGCAAACTAATTTTGTTTTTCGAGAGACTCACCTGGAACCCAGCTGATTCCCTATTGTGTGATGTTCTCAGGCAACTGAATGTGCTGAACCAGGCCGCCTCATGTTTCAGTCGCACATTCAGTTGCCTGAGAACCTCACAAACGAGAGGTTGAGCTGGGTTCCAGGTGAGTCTCTCGAAAGAACCAAATTAGTTTGCAAATGAGTGTATAATCGCGAATTTCGTGAAATTTGGTTTCAAATAGAACATAAGGTTGACGGAAACCCGGGGACTGCGCCTACCTGATGAGCCCCAATACGGGCCAAACCGGTCGTGGGCTGTCGACGGATTTTCTGCAACCTTATGAGTAGTACATTACAAAGACATACATGTATCACGTTTTTTGAGCAAACTTGTGAGTAGTTTCCTTTATGAAAGCATTTTTTCATGTTTATTCAGCACAATATAGGAGGCGCATTAATGAAGAGACAGATAACAGGTAATCTTTAGTAAGTTGACACCGCTAAAACTCTCTTCGAACGTTTTGAAGGTTTTAGATGTGTTTGTTTACCTAACTACCTGTGGGTCCTGATAGCTCCTAGGTCACGAGCTTGAGACCTTGCCTTGTATACTGAAAATCTTAGTCAGTCGAGTGCCCTCTCCTTTACTAGGACATGGTAGACGGGCGTAGATGGATCGAAACATAACCTTTTGATAGGAAAGGCACAGTCAGGTTCACAAAGATTGTAGATATTGATGGTTGGTAAACAGACGATCCCAGGCCCAAGTATTGTACTGATATGAGTGTGTGTTTGTGTGTGTAGCCTTTATCCAAACTGACTGCTTGAATTTCTTTCAACATTACAGCTTATTTCACAGTCACTGAGCGAATCTGCTGGCAGGTTTGTTGCTGGATGCAAAGTTACCCTGGGCGACCTGTGTCTGCTGGCATGCCTGGATCACGTGGACAAAGCGGATCCTGAATTGGTGAAAAATAAATACCCTAAACTGTTGGAGTGGCGCGAAGCCGTGTTGAAGGAGAAGCCAAAACTTGCAGATTACATAAAGTCACGTCCTGACACACCTTTCTGATTTTTTATGGGAATTCATTAAATAAAGGCTTGTCATATCATTTTCGCATCAGTACCCCTTTGTTCAGTCTACTTTTGGGCGTTTTTTCTCCACCGATCCCTGATAAACTTTGCTCTTCGCACACCGTCCCAACGAAACATGTCTTGCAGTCGGCGGACACGCGTATAAAATGTTCATATTCTGATTATACCTGTGCCTTTCCAAGGGCTACATCATGAGGAACCGGAAACAACAAAACAAAGAACTCTCCTGTGTTTTCATAAAGTAAACTACTCACAAGGTTGCTGAAAGCTCTTCGGCAACCCACGACCGGTTTCGCCCTTCTTGGGGCTCATCAGGCAGGCACAGTCCCGGAGTTTCCCTCAACCTTATATTCTACTTGAACCCAAATCGGACTGTTTTCGAGAATTACACTCATTTGCAAATCAATTTGGTTTTCACCAGAGACTCAACTGAATCTCTCTTTTATGATATTCTACAACTGAACGTACTGCACACAGGCCGCCTCATGTTTCAGTTGGCACGATATTCGAGATATCGCAGTATATTTTCGTAGAGGAAACTACTCACAAGGTTGCTGAAAATTGATTTGCAAATGAGTGTATTTCTCCTGTGTTTCATTCTATCTCAGCGAGGACTATCCCAACAACTTCGAATGTCCTCTCATGATCCTTCAGATAGTGGCATCATTACCTAGAAAATGTTCCTACTCACGCACACTTATTCAGCCCCAATGAACTCAGAGAGGCTGACTTCCAATCGGAAAATATCCGGACCAACTACAAAAGACTGCACGAATGCTTGATTCAAAGAAATCAAATGAAATGGAAGGACACACTGTATTGGATCATGACTAACAACGTTTTGAGGAATGGCAGGATCTTCAATCGCTTTCGATCCTCTAAGCAGTAGTTGATATTCAGGTTGCATCCGAGACGTGGCTAAGGCAATGAGTAGTAGCCACAACACTAGTAGAATCCTATGTGTGTCAGGTTGATTCAACTAGAGTCTAGATTAGAATTTATACCCAGTACAGCACCCGCAGACATGTTCCAGTGATCTGATAACGAGGTGGTTGACTTCTGTGCAAATCCCGGTCAAACTAACTAGATAAGCCTTCATCCGGTGTGGAGTGAGATGGGAAAAGATAATCAAGATCGTAGACGAATTGGTTAAAGCGATCCTATGTGCTGTGAATCGAATGCAGCTGAAACGGACAGTTGGAAGTCAACAGGTTTTCGATTTTGTTAACCTGGGTAAGCGGCCTTTCGAGATTTAGGAACCCTGGTTGAACTGGACGAATTCTGATGTGAAATCACAAGTTTGTTCACTCCGGTTAGCCACTACTGAGAGCTTTTGGACGGAGGTGATCTCACGAGCGACAACAAAGTCGTCAGCATGTCCTGCTCAGTGTGTACAATTTAGAAATACCACGTATACAATTTTTGTATCAAGTACTATCGGTGAACACTTGTTGCCGGGCCAGTAAGTGAAGAGAGAATTTTCTGGACATCGTACGATTTTATGCTAGCAAAAGAAGTTCCTTAATTGTGCCAGCGTGCCAACGCAGTATCGTCAAATGCCTCTTGAATAGGACAGTGGGTTTTCGGTAACTGGGAACAACAATTTTATACTTTTTTCGTCCCTGTGGTAGCTGAGCTCTAACTAGCCTATCAAGAATGAACAATCGCTTTCCTCAGTGCATTTATGAGTACTCCGATAAGTATTCTTAGTTAAGCACGATTCATCCACTCAAGAAGGCTTGGTATTCTTGATTTCAATAGCTGTTTCATGCTGCAAGTGAAAATATTCTGTGCTGCAGAGCTGAAAACTGTACAGTTTGACATAACCCTGAACAGTCCTTGATGGATTACTACCTGTTTCACCCTTCTTGGAGCCCAGCAGGCAACCGTAATCCCCGTAGGCTTGTTCCATTCCCCTTACTTCATAAATAACAAAAATCGGTGGAATAAATGTGTAAATGGTTAGGAATACTGGTGTTTTTGCACAGCTGTTTCACTCTCATCATCATCACAACTTTCGTGGTTCAATTTACTGTTCTGTTTGAAAAAGTGCCTCTCTCTAGACAAAGCAACTGCACTTGTTCAATCCACCCTGTTTCGCGAATGTTTCCACAGCATAGTCTCCCAACGCAAATGGTACAAATGGCAACGGGAATCCGAGATCAATAATCGGAAAACAGTAGGCACGTGGATCATTTCGTTAGGACATACAAAATGAATCAGCGCGTAAATGATAGAGTCACGTGACGTTTTGACCATCGATTTTACAAGCCGTAGATACAAGTTGCAAGATACAAGTTACAAGCACGACAATGTCACAACAACCGAACCAGATGGAAGTTGAGCAGGTCGGTATCTCACCTTCAAGTAGTGAAGACACCTACACACGAGTCAGTATTCAAACATTTTCACTCAAAGGGTCCAGTCAAGGGCACAAAATCGCTTTCATCGGCACGTTTTTGGTATGGATTCCGACCGAACCCAATTGCGTGTGATTTGTCGATTGAATCAACGCGACCTTTCTGTACCAAGCAGCAGGTCACAAATTATCTGTTTTTAATTTAATGGAATTTTCCTCATCATCGTCATCAAAGACAGCAACATCAGTGTTGGCACTGATGCTTCACTGCCGTACAACCATAAAGTTCGTTTAGTTATATATATATGACAATCTGGAGAGAAACTGACAGCACGAACGCCACTGACATCGATTAGCCGCCATTTCTTGCGAAGTCTCCAGCCAAGCAGAGACGAGGTCATCGGGACCCTATCGTGGAAGGCGTACAACACCAACAACACCCAAACTCTTCGTGATCTCTTTGACGCCTTTCTGCCAAGTCATGTGCTGTCCGCCTCGCGGTTTGCGCCAGCCTGAAGGAGGCACGGAAAACAACACTCGCTCCGATAGACGGTGTTTTGGCATGCGTACCACATGACCGAGCCATCGTAGTCCATGATGCTGGATGTTTTCCCGGATTGAGGTGCCTGCAGCACAACCAAATACCCGTTTTCTAATCACCTCGTTACTAACACACTGACGCCATCCAAAATCGGTCACGCGTCTGAGGCATCGGTGGTCGGTAGTCGCACATCATCTGTCCGCAGAGGTCATGTCTCGCACCCATACACCAACACAGCCCTTACTGTGGCGTAGTACACACGACCTTTAAGATCCAGTGAGATGTTTTTTTTGACGCCACAAATGACGCAAATTAGCAAACGTGATGGAATTTTCCTACATGCTTCCAGTTTTCAAACCGTCAATGGCGCCATGCTTATATTTTCTTCAAGCACCCAACACACCTGAGGATAAGGGAAAAATCGCTATTTCAAAACACAGAACCCCAATAGTCGTTCTGCTGAATTATTGCGCTGTACCCATGAAAAGATTGTGCTGGTGGTTCGTACAACTGCGGGTACTTTCCTGGGATGGCAGACGATTTCAGTAGGTATGCTAAGATACTACCTACACCAAAACGAACAAGTTGATCGATTGTGTAGTGGAAGAGTGAGGAGAAATATTAAGGACATCATTTATTTGGGTAACTTTCTTGTTAACATATTATGCAAAAAACTACAAGGACTTCTGCGAATTTCATCCTTGTTCCAATAAATCACTAGAAGGCACTAACTCGATCTTTGAGAAGTAGGGAAGTTATGTTTGAAGCGTCTTTTCTCGCATTGCTGTCTTCGTTGGAACGAGAGCTACGACTGGAATTCCCGTTGTTCAATTGCCACTCCGGCTCTGCTATATCGCCGTGCATGGGCTCTCATGTTCCTACGCTCGTATTGTGTTTTCCGGTGCACAATGTGCCTCCTGAGAGTGACAGGGAATACGCCAACGACGAGCTACGGTTATCCACTTAAGACCAATCAAACAGTGGAAGTTGGTTGGGTGTTTTGCTGTAAATTGTCCAATCGCTAAATTATTCAGTAGTCAGGGTCATTCTACATGCTCTTTTAGTGCTTCCTGAGAAAGACATCATCATCGACAGCATGGCATGCTTCTCCTTTGTTGCACATGGGCTGGGATACTGTCAGCGCGCTCATACATAGACAGAAGAACGATTTGTGTCCTCAGCCAAAGCTTTTGGCTCAAAAGCCTAACCACAAGGCAGTGGTGTCTGGCGGGAAATGCAAAAGCATTACCATTTCTACGGAACAAGTCGCCATATATTTTCCAACCCCCAACCTGGAGGACCACGAGACTGTGTTCGTCAGACCTCTAACCATTAACCAACCCGGTATGAGAGACTCTGTGGGTGTCTCGGGAACACTCCCTAGTATAGCTCAATGGATTGCTGAGGTGCGCAAAGCGTCACACCGTGGTAAGGGACAGTCTCTTCGTGGCGGACTGAGAAAGACAATCCGCTTCGAATCATTGGAGCAAGCTTAGGTCCAAGGGCATGAATGCGCAACGGCATCACGGAGATTTTCGGGTAATGGTGAAGGCTATTCTCTGGCCCACAAACTTATCTCGCGATGAGTCACCGTAATGACCTGGAATGTGGTGGTTCCACTTTGTGCAGAACATCTTTCGGAAACTCTCATGTGGCTGCTTGGCTTTCTACATGGCTTCTTTGGAGGTTACGTCACTTATGTGTTCACAGGAACCGAACAGTGGTCATCAGCATCCTTCGTCGTCTCAACGGATACTGAATGGCGCTCTTACCGATGGTGGTAGATCTCTGCCATCGCTGGCGCATCAATTTATCATAATCGAATGTTCTTCGCTTGAGAACAGTTTTTGGGATATTAGAATCATTTCATTCGAAATGAAGCTATCTTGTTGCCTGCAGGTGTGGACAAAAGTGTGCTAAGCATGCAACGGTGTATGCTACTGATGAATCATGCGAGTAGTACCTGGTCAGGTGTCAAGGCGCCGTCCTCGCAGCTGATGAAAGACCTGTGGGGGGAGCATGTGACCGATTTGTATTGCTTGTTCATTATTGTTTATTACTCAAAGAATGCCCAAAATGTTCAATAGGGCGCCTCAACTGTGTGTGCTGTAACAGGCCACCTCAACTTTCAG